TGGGAATGTGGACTGATTGTATAAATAGTAGATTGGAGTGGGAGGGAGGGAAAATAGGGATGTGAAAGAGGGAAGGATGGTTTGTGAGTTGAATTTGTTATTTGTAATTACTGGAAAATTTTAAAATTAATAAAAAAAAATCAAAATAACAACAAATCTAACAAATGAGGAACACACGCACGCACACATACTTTTCAAGGCAACACTCTTGCCCCAAGATTCTTCTTCCTTTCTGTAAGGATTGGAACATTGAGTCCAGGTTTTGATAGTCAAGACTGGCCTTTGAGATCTGGAAACCCCACCATCTGGGCATTTAGTTCACATGCATGATTTAGGAGAAAGTTCCCTTTGAGTTTAATGGAATTAACTCCCAGATAGGTCCATACATAGGATGGCAGTCTTAAGAGAATATATTCGCCCCTGTATTTTTGCGGAGGATCCATTCCAGACCTCCCCCCCCCCGTGAAAATGGAAAACTGCAAATATTCAAGCCCCATAGGCTAGAATGGAGGTGTGTGCCCATGTGTATATGCTGTGGCCACGAGCCTCATTTTGTTCCTCTCCATTTGCCACCTGCAAATGGGAGTGGGATGCAGACTTCAAGTCTGCAAAAATGAAGTGATTGTAATTTTAAATTTTAAAATAATGAGAAACAGCTACAATAATAAACAATAATTGCTTATTGCTAATCAAAACTTTTGGTCTCCAAAAAAGCTGTTTTAGGGAAGACTTTTGAGGATAACTAGCTTGAGCAAACACATTTAAAAAATCTTGCATTTTGTTTTGACTAATGAAATATGTTCCTGTTATATGCATGTTACAGTCCTATCTGAAGTCTTTTTTAAACAAAAAGGTTGTCGAGAATAGTAGAGCACACTGTTAAAAAAATGAAGGCAAAGAACTGGAATTTGTTAGATGTTTTGTGAAAGTAAACACTTAATGCCTGCTAAGAAGATGTTCCCAAACCAGAGCTAAGAAAAGTTACTTTTAAAAATAATTATTCCTCAGATCCTTCAGCCAGCATGGCCAGTGGAAGTTGTCATTCAAAAAAATAACTTTCTCAAGTTCTGTCTCAAATCTCCTGGGAGTGTTATATGCTTATGATATCATTCAAAGTATCCTTTGCATGTTTTAAAGATAAGTGGCTACCCATCTTTACCATGTACGCTGTACTTTTTATTAATGTTTTACATTAGGATTGGATGAATCTGGCTGTTTTTGGATTCTATTTCCAATCCTTCTTAACCATTGACAATGATGACTATAGACAATGGGACCTGGAGTTCAACAAAATCTCAAGGGCTACAGGTTCTCCATCTTCCATTGTTCAGGAAATAGAAACAACATAATCTTTACACAGGACAGGCCTATAGGACAAGAGTGAAGAGATACAGTACAGATTGCTTCCATATTGGAAAGCCCTTTAGCTCTGCTGAGATGTTGGTTTTCAGCAGTTTGCTGGAAGCATAATTAAAATGGCAGTTCCATAGAAACATTTAATATAGCCTTGTAACAAAGGGTGGGGAACTTGTCATCCTCAATGTGTTTTTCAACTGATTTACTTTAGGGAAGAGTATGGGATGATCAAGTCTGGTGTTATGCATTCTGAATGGCGGCAGCTCTCTGGAGTTACAAGAAGAGGTCTTTTATGTAGCTTCCTAGCCAATCCTTTTATTGGGGAAAAAAGAATGGCACTTGGAATCTGATTCAGAACTGAGAAGAGCTATTGTAGGCCATGCATTGTTTTCTGAATTTTGAGTGAGATATTCAGCCACTAAGTATGGCCCCTCCTGAAGATATTAATCACTGTTTTCTTGTCATGTTTTGTCTTCTTCTTTTTCTTTAAATAGGAAAATAATTTGATAAAAGACTAAAACAATGGAGAATTCACAACAGGACAAAATATTGAGCATGTTGTTCTGCAGTTCAGAATGCTTTGCAGAAGAAGTGGATTTCAAGGAAGGAATTAAAGGAGTCAACAGAAATATAGATCCTGGGACATTTTAAAGTAAAATTATTGGGTTACCCACAGGCACTTTTATCTATCTGTTCGCATTTAGTATTTATTTATTCACTTACTTATTCCTCCATCCATAGGTGCATAACTACAGAAACCTGAATTTGCTTTTCTACTGGCTAACAGGATCTAATTGTGATAAAATACAACAAAACTATTAAATATAATAGAACCAGATGTTTAGTATACATTTGTTCTGGATCAATTATCAGACTTTTGTGGCTTATATTTGGGATACTACTTTTTAATCAATCATAGATTGCTTTAGCTATGTGGCATGCATCAATAGTTTTGTTACACTTTGTGTCTTCCTGCTCTTCTTACTGGACCAGCTTTGGTTTGGATTGATTCTGCTTTCTGATATATGAAAAAGTAACATTGTCTTAAGAGGATAGGAAACATCCATATATCTTCTTTTACCCAGATATGTCCTCTTTTTCAAAGCTAAAATTTCTCTCTGGGGGTCTTTTTAAAATATCCAGATTTTCTTACAAGGTCCCTCCACCTCTGAAACTCAGGAGCAAACTGCCATTGTAAGTCCAATTATTGCAAATCTATAGGGCAAAACTAAAGTGCCATGGAGAGGATATTCCTACGGATGGCCAAGATCATAGCTTGTGAATTTAACATCATCATTCTGCATCAATGGGATTCACAAAGAGAGGCAGAAGAGGGAGAAGAAGGATGATGGTGACAGTGGCTCTGGTATGGAAGGAGTTACTGTATAGTATGGAATGGGTGTGGGCTTCGTTTTTTGGAATATCTGGATGCTTATCTCTCCTCTGCTCCCTTCTCAAGACCCTTCATCCACTGCCCCCTTTTCCACCCATAGCTCTTTTTTTTTTGGTCCCCTTGACAGTTTTCCTTATTACCATCCTACCTTGCAGGGTTGTTGTGGGAACCTGAAATGCAGGAATAGTGGATGGACAGGTGCGAGGGATGGTTTCTAATCCCACTCTGTGTTGGGATATTGTTGGCATTATTAACTATTGCTAAGTAATCAGCTGATAATTGTTGCTATTTATATACAGTGAAGATTAAGAATATATCTAGCACATCTTGAGTCTTCCTTGTTTGGAATTCTGAAATCCAAAATACTCCAAAATCCAAAATTGTCCATATGGATGACTGCAATAGTGACACCTTTGCTTTGCTTTGGTTCAATATACACACATTTTGTTTTATGCACAAATTAAAAATATTGTGTATAAAATTACATTAGTGCTATGCATATAAGGTATATGCAAGATATAAATGAATTTGATGTTTAGATTTGGGTCCCATCCCCAAGCTATCCCACTATGTACATGGAAATATTCCAAAATCTGAAAAAAATAATCCGAAATCCAAAACACTTCTGGTTCCATTCATTTCAGATAAGGAAGACCCAGCCTTTATAAATTATCACATCTTATATTTAGTAAGGCATTTAAAGTGAGAGTCACCACAGCAATCAGTGGCTTGAAGTAGTCAGTGGGGAAATCTGTTTTCTATTTTGTTTTTCACAATATGGTAACCCTATTATAATAGAATGCACATTGGCATTTGAAAAAGATTGTAAGGGAGCTTCCTCAATGTGGGACCCTTTAGTTGTGTAGGTCTACGGCCCCTATAATCCTCAGTCAGTGAGGGGATAATAGTTGCTAGAGTCCAAAACATCTGAAGGAAACCCGGTTGAGGTGAGCTGCAGCAGGAACTGGAGCAGCATACCATTTATGTTTACAGATTTTTAGACAGATTTTAACTTCGTTGGAATGGAAAGTACCCTTTCATCAGCCCTTGTATGTCTTATCAGGCTATTATTCTCTGAACTATGGAAGGTATTGTTTGCTTTGTTTTGTTCCTCCTTTCCAAAGAGGAGGAAAGTAGCATCATTCTTGGTCCATTTATGGGTATAAATAAAACTGGGCTGAATCTAGCTATGTTAATTTACACAGCTGGCAGGAAGAGATGGCAGGAAGATGTTTATTGCAGCTGTGGAAACTTCCAGAGCTCTTATTTTACAATTATGCAGAGTGATATGGAAGCAAAAATTTAATTAAGACCTTAAAAAAATAGGTGGGTGGCCTGAAAACTACACGTGGCCTTTAGGTGCTTTCCATGAGGCCCACCAGAGCTCCAGACAAACCCCTTCATTGTTCTCCATTGCCTAGTTGACCAACTCGGTAGCAGAGAAAAGACTATTGTGCTAGAACCTTTTTTACATTATACAAGTATAGATCTTTGGTTCCATTTAAACTGCATAGCTTCATCATATGGAATCCTGAGATTTGTAGTTTCACAAAGTATTTAGAACAGGGGCTGGCAACCTATGGCCCATGGGCCGATTCCGGCTCAGGTCCCGGTAAAGCAGCTTCATTTATATACCGCTTCATATCGCACATGGGATGTCT